AAAAAAAAAAAAAAAAAACGCAAAGGAAAATAAAAATAAAATAAAATAAACGATTTAGGAGCGACCGTCATCCAAAGTTGTTTGCATTGCTATTCTGCAGTGTAAGGACCTGCCCAAACACGGACTGAGAACACGGTTGATTTCTGAGTTTGGGCGCTAGAATGAATGCCTCGCTGAGATTCCCGCTTTCTGCTGAGTTTTCTAAGTCTGCGTGTGCGCGTGCTTGCTGGTCTGCGTGTGTGTGTCTGAGGGCTTGTCGACTTGAGTGTGTGTGTGACCCACAAAGGTACTTGCTTGCTTGGAAGGCCCCATAGGACAGGTACTTACCTGTGGCCGTGACATTGAGGGTTGCAGCGGGGAAAATACTCAAGTAGCGGGAGTAGGCCCGTGACACTTAGAGCAGCGGGGAAAAACACTCAAGTAGCAGGTAGGCCGGTACCACTCAAGTAGTGGTAGATGTGTCGGGGACTGGAGGACGAGCAGAAGAAGACAAAAAGTGGGCATTTTTAGAGGCCCAGTAGTTGTAGGCTAGGTCTAGGAGGATACCAGTCCAAGTAGTCTGAGTCTAGGGCCTGTACGGGGGATATCAGAGTCTGCAATGATGTTTCCCTCCGATCAGGAGGAGGTACAGGTTGCTTGGAGGCCGCGCGGCCTGGAAGTCACCGCCCAAGAGGCAAGTTGGCCGCTATATCTCCGGGAGGAGCAAAGAGCTCCTCCTCATTTGCTGCATGCAAGTTTGGACGTCACGCTGCTGGAGCGCTGGAGGAGCAGCACTAGTGTGCAACGCTGTGGGGGGGAGAAGGGCGCCCGGCTCCCCACCTTGGCTATGGTGGAGGAGCTCGGGCAGGCGGAGGAGGAAGAAGGGACTAGGAGTGGGGAGCGGCAGGGGTACTTACCTGGCTATCGTGGACGTCACCTTCATCACCTTGGTGGCCGCTGCATCTGGAAGGCCCCTGTTGGGGTAGAGGTGCACCAAGAAGCTTTGAGGGAGAGATGATTAACGGGGGGCCAAATATTCACCTTTTTCGCTGGCAATTTCGGTGCGAAATTCACACAACAAGGAAAACAAGAAAAAAAAGCAAAAAATCAGCACAATGTGACAGTTTCGGTACAAAATTCACCGAAAATAACACCCCCGGTTAACCACATGTGAGAGGAATTCGGACATTGATTCTGGTTCTGCCATTCATCATTATTATTATTTTTTTGAAATAACTGCGCAGGTGACTGCTGCACAGTTTGGAACTCGCAGGAATAACAGTCCACTGCAAGCTTGGGCGAAGACGAGTTCGAAACTGCAAGAAAAACAGTAAACTGTGCGTTCGACGGCCTACCGGTTCGATAATTGGCAAAAACGTTTTTTTTTTTTTCTTGTCAGCGAGTTCTTTTTTTTTTTTTTTTTTCTGCGCCTGCTTCTGCCACGGCGGCGCTGTCTAGGCGTCCACAACGAACCCTGATAATGAACGTATACAAAATGATAATGAATGTATACAAGATATCTTTCCGGTCGAATTCAATCCTTTTTTTTTTCGTCTTTTTTTCATCCTCACGACAGGGTTGCCCCACGTGAGAGAGAGGGGGCGCGTGTGAGACAGGAGGGGCACGTGTGTGTGTGTGTGTGTGTGTGTGTGTGTGTGTGTGTGTGTGTGTGTGTGTGTGTGTGTGTGTGTGTGTTCCCCTCATTCTCTCTCTCTCTCTCTCTCTCTCTCTCTCTCTCTCTCTCTCTCTCTCTCTCTCTCTCTCTCTCTCTC